CTGTTGTTGCACATTGTTGAACTACTGCAGCTGCATCTATCATATCTTACATTAAAGTCACCAAACATACACCACAAGCTCGTTTGCAAGGGCAGAAAACCTATTCGATTCTGTATTTCTCTGGAAAACTTATTCAGCTCTGCATTTCATGGCCCAGGATGGCCCAGGGGTGCATGGATCACTCTTGGGGCTCTTTTGATCGCCCGTCTGGATGGGAATTCCCATTCCGGGGCCACGGGGCAAAATGCGGCCCTTAGGAACGGAACGGCTTTTTGGAGGCAAAGCCTCAGGCATTAGCTGCCAAAACAAGGAGCCTCTGCAGTTTACGTGCTTGCAAGACTTGGCAAAGCCTGAAAGCACTGCACCAACTGCCAGTCTTCGCGATAAGGACAATGCGTGCAGGCGGTTTCAGGGAATTCCGATCAAGGGTTAGTACAAATCGGATGCAAAGGTTAGGACAGAACATGTTTGCGGTTAGGACAAAACCCTTTCATGGTTAGGAATGTTTCTCTGGCGGAGCTCGGGGCCGGCTCCGAGGCGGCTCTCGCACTGCTTCGCTTGCGTCTAAAGTCTAGGGAGCAGGCTCGACTGAATTTGTAGCCAATGAAGGTGGCTGCACCTGCTTCGCTTGCCTCAAGGCATCACGGATATTCACAACCCATGCTTCGAATCAACGCTTGCCTTCACTTCCAAATCGATGCACAAGCCTGGACCGATCATGCTGAAGCACGCATCAGGAACTATCTCAGAGTCGCGCCTTTCACATCAGATCCACGGCTGCTTCTGGGCATTGGTCCCAGCACCACGGCCTCATCCAATGCCTTGGCACACGCTAGGAAGACCAACGGCCAACAGAGAATGCATACACTTATAGTCACTAGTCACATCTAGTCACTAGCAGAGACTCAAAGCCGCAAGCCCCACTCTCAGGCTCAAGCCACTGGTGTTTCAGGAAGAGGATCAAGTTTCTCGAGCCAGGCCCTGGGCATGGACCTGCAGGGTGTCTCTAGCTCACTAGCGTCACAGGAAATCCCATGTCTGTTTCTGCTTCCGAGTTGCAGCCAACACGATGACCTTCAGACTTTAGTCTTCAGGGCGCATAACGGCCATGAGATGATTGGTCACACTTAAGCCGCAATCTGTTCCGAGCGGCTCTCGGAACTGGGCCAGGGCAGCAAGGGCCCATGAAAGACAACTCCAAGAAATCTCCTGAGGAAACGGATCGCGCCAAGGTCTCAAACTCTCGCCCGAGTCCCTGGAAGCTCGCAGCCTTTGCACTTTCTTCGTCTGCCGACGCCAATGGCGCTAGCAGCCAGAAGGAACGTTCGGGAAGATCCTCTCGTAGCTCAATGGTTTTTGTGCCGAAGCTGAGAAAGTGCGAAGCAGTGAAAGGTCTTTCGTTCGTGAGCTTTTTCGTGTTGAAGTCTGCAGAGGTGGAGGCTGAATTCGCGGAGGGGCTTTAGCTTTGTCCTCGTCGTCTGGGACTTCAGTTCTTTCTGCTGGTAACCATTTTCCTGATCGGTCCTGGCCAATTGCGTCAGCGCGAAAAGCCGACAATCAGCCTGTCACGATCGGGGGAGGTGAGGCCTTCCACAATGTCAGCATCGGCTGCTCGAAGCACTGATGGAGCGGGCAGCTCCTGAAACCGATGACGGACTGCCCTGCGCCCTTTTCTTTGCAATGTTGTTCGCCCATCTCCCCTCACAAGGCTCCTATCGCAACGAGCAATCTCCAAGCACAGCTGTGTCCACACCTGTGCCCGATATATCATGCTCGACATCGCAGTGTTGAGAATTTGGAACGTCGAGGAAGGTTGAGTAATGTTGAGTATCGGTGGCCTTGAGGTCTTCCCATTGCTGAGACGTCAGCAAGATTGGGCAGCCAGGCACGGCAGGCTTGACCTCGAAGCTGTTGTAGCCAACACGGCATCAGCAAATCTGGTGCCAAGAACAAGATGAAATCAATCGCTGCCTTTGCCAGGATTGGTTGTTCGTGTCCTGGAGGAACACACGATACTGCGTCACTGCATCACGCCGGAAGCACACGCAGAAGCTGAGTTCAAAAATAATCTCATCTGTTATGGGTTGCCGTCATTACGTTGAAAAAGTCCGCAAGCAATGCCTTCCATAACTCTTCAAGCATCTTTACGGTGCCATGCGGCTTCCCTGTGACGCACCCCTCGACGAAATCCTGGGGGCAGCAGCGAGAAGGTCCAGGCTCCGACCGGCACCTCGTAAGAAGGACAGTCAAGGCCATCATCGAAGACATCACTCCGAGACCTCCTCGGGCAGGAGGAGGGCCAAGCCGGACTTCTTACCTGGCATCACGTCTGCCGTGTCCAGTTGCCCTCTGACAGCTGACAGCTCAGGGGAATGTCCTGGATGATCGCCCACTGCCAGCTGATGCACGTGCAACGAGATGTCCTGCATGTCCTGGATGGTGTCAGACTACAACCTGAACCTACGCACTTTTCTCCAGCAGGTCAGTTTGCGAGACAAGGCTACGTGTAAGTCTGGGAAGGGCATGAACACAAGATGACCGAGCCTCACTTGCCACCCTGGAAGGTGCTCGCAAACATCGGGGAAGGTTCCTGCACGACCACTGGCGTGGCACACAGGACCAGCTATGTGCTACGGCTCCCGTGCCGGAATCTTACGCGCTGTCATGCATGGGGGATTGTGTGCAGAGATAATGTTGAATCCGGATCTGCCGCATGTGCAGAAGTCAGATTCAAACGACCATTGGCCCTCCACTGTGGTGTGCCAGCTTAGACTTGCAATCCGCCGGCCTGACCAAATTCTCAGAGCGTTTGAGAGCCACTGCATCGTCCGAACGCTTCTTTGTCATCCCTTGTCGTCGACCAGAGTCCAGTCACCTGCGTAGAGAAACGAGCCGAAGAGGGCGAGGCAGAGCAAGAGGCTCCCTCCACCCCTGTGCTGTCGCGCACCCGTTTTGGTGCCCAAAGAACGGCAGCAGGGGTACTTAGGCCCCTCTCTCTCTCTCTCTCTCTCTCTCTCTATATATATATATATATATATGTAAATATATATGTATATATATATATATATATGTATATATGTCAATATATGTGTATATAACGCGCCCCACCCCCCATGATCCACCCGAACTTGCTTCTTGCAGGCAGTGGATCATAGGAGGTGGGCAGCCTCAGATGCGAAAACATCGCCAGGCTCGCATTTCCCCAAAGTTTGTAACGCCTGAAATGCGAAAACCTCGCCAGGCTCCAATTTCCCCAAAATTCCGAAAATCCTGGTATCTGAGAGGCGTGCAGGGCCGTAGTTGCTGAGATTTCGTGAATTTTGGGAAATTGGAGCCTGGCGATGTTGTCGCACTTCCAGCTTTGCAAACTTGTGGGCTATGCGAGCTGTTCGAGAGATCAAGCGTTAGAGCCAGTGCTACAGTATAGGCAGAGAGATTCACGGCTTACGAAAACATACCTGAACAGAAACAAGGACGTAACGTCTTAGGAGTGTGGGATGCGGGCCGAGCGATTCGGAACTCTACTTACACCGAAGTTCACAGATCTCTGGCGCGCCGCACCTTTTCCAACTGCTTTCGCTTTGGTGGCGGTATAAGACTTATAGTATTCACTCGAAGTCTTCGGTAATGGACCGTTTCCAGCTCGGTTCGCAGACGGAAAACCGAGGAAAACTTTAAAAGGCAAGCAGAATCTTCATTCGGAGTGGGTGGGAGGGAAAATTCTCAAACAGTCTTTTCACCCCCAGGTGACGGTATGTAGCAGACACATGCAAGATCGACTGGTTAGATCCGACGTTTGTCACTTCGCACACAAGCGTGCCAAGAGCTAATCTTTTCTGTCCTTACTCGGAAAGGTCCCCAATCTTCCTGGTCAGTCTTGGAGATGCAACCAGCAACGTTTGCCCGGCACGAGTCAGTCTCAAGCCACTGACTGAAACAAAAATACTATGCTGAGGGCTTCAGCGATCATGGGAGCAAATTGCGTAAATTGTAAACATTAGTCCAGCTGGCTGCTGGCTGTGCAAGGAATGTGCAAACGGAAACGACTTCAGTTTGCCAAGCCTGTCCCTGTGCCTACCTGCGAAGTCAATCAGGGCTTCCGTATTTAAAAGTTCTATGGTTTTTCAGATTTTCACACCTGGATTTGAACCTTGGGAATGCACTTGCTAATAAGAACATCAAAACTTCAAAATGTTACATACCTCATATGTCAACATATTAAAGATTTCCCTTATCAACCAGTTTAGTAGTGTTTCTGATGGGTGATTTTAATGTTTTTCGCAGACTTTAATGTTAAATCGTTATCGAGATCTCTGTCAAAGTCCAGGACCTGGACTTGGCTGTTAACAACAGTAAACAGTTTAAATATCTTTCAAATTTTCAATGTTTGAAAATTTCCTTATTAAAGATTTGGCACACGAACAACATTGAACACGTAAATGCTCTGCACAACGGCAACTGTCAAAAGAATATTAAGGTTCTATTTACGCATATGCAGAGGTACATATTCATGTGTGTCTGTGTGTTCAAAATCCAGTGTCCGTCACACGGCCTGAACCCAAAGTCTACAATCGCTCTAAACGTTCATCTTCTGCCACATGAGGACGGAGACAAAGTTTACCTTGGGCCAGCAGCAAAAAGAAGCCAAGTGTGACCACTGGTGCACGTACTGTTGCAACGAAAACGGTTGTCATCCGCTTCGCTCCAGAAGCGGTGGCCCAAGAATACCCAACTCGGGCCCAAGCTGTGACCAGGATGGCTTGCTTCCCAATGCTGCTAGATGCTGGCTCTTGGGCAGAAGCTTCAGAGACCAGCAATCGCGCAAATAACTGCATTACAGTAGAACCTTCGAAGGCTTGCACGATAGATCTGTTGACTTGAATCACTTGCCGCACAAGCCCTTCTTGCATGCAGCTCCAAATGGCAAATCCAGAGAACTCAGTCACTTCTCTTATCTTTGCCGCCTCGCTAAGGGGTGCTGCATGCGGGTTTGTGCGAACCTCCTCCCATCTCGAACACGTTACCATCGCCCATCTGGAAGTGGAATCTGGGCGAAATTGATAGATGCTTCGGACCATTCAACACCTGTGCGTGCTTCTATGCGCATGTGACGCATGTGATATCTGTATACATATGCATATACATAGAATAGTATACAGTATACATATACATCGAACATCTACCTATCGATCTACCTATTATGTGTATGGAGCACCTGGGATGAATGCACATATACATACGTACATGCAGACACAGTCCAAGCATACAAACATGCACACATACACACACACATGCATACATACACGATGATACACACATACATGCATGCACGAACCAACCACAGCACAAAAATAGAGACGTGCAGATAGTTACAGATACATGCACTCATGCATGCCCATACATATGCACAGAGCCCATCATCCGTCCATCCGTCCATCTACGCATATATCCATCCGTTCATCTATCGACGCGTAGCTGTCTGTCTATCTACCTATCTACCTATCTACCTGTTTATCTCTCTAACTGTCCATCTGTCTATCTTTCTATCTGACCCCTTACTCCTATTCGTGGTCCCTCAGCCCTTAATGCAGAAAATGAAGCAGGTATGTCAGCGGGAAGATGTAGTATCAGGGCTGCATGTTTGTGCTTCCTTCCTGAGTAAATGATTTCCTTCTTACTTGCCGAGTTCGTAAGCCCCTCTAAAGTGTACACTTTTGGTTTTATACTGGGTAGTATTATCCAAGACAGTGTAAAGTCTATCCACTCAGCTACTAAGCCTTTAAACCCTATGCAACGGGTCTCGGCAAGAAGGTACAGGCTAGGAGGTGCAGGTGGAGGCCGCAAGTTTCGTTGTGATAGCCTTGCCTTACCGGCCATGATGGATGGCAGCAGATAGACAGATTAGACAGCCGGATAGACATGCCAGGACTCTTCGACTGAGACTTGGGCTCGGAGAGAGACAGAGAGAGAGCGAGCGATCATTGCGTGTGCACATTCCACGTGTGTGTCGATGGAGACGAATTATGCCAGAGGCGTCCCGAAAGTAATGAATGGTTGATATGACCGCTGGGTTGAATATTGAATATCATCCATCTATCTGTCTGTATACCTGTCTAATCCTGTCTGCCAGTTTGTCTGCCTGTCTGCCTGTCCGTCTGTCTGTCTGTTTCTCTGGCTGTCTGCCTGGCTGTTTGGCTGTCTGTCCATCTGTCTGTTGCTCTCTGTCTATCTACGTTTTTTTGCATTCCACACACAGATGCTTGTATGTATGCCTGCATGTGCAGATGCAGCCATGCACGCATGCATGCACGGCCGCACGCAAGCACGTGCACAACCACGCATGTGTACATGGAGGCGGCAGGCAGGCATGCATGAATGCATGGGTGCATGCATGTATGGATGTGCGTATGTAGTGTAACGTACTGGTATGGTACTCTGTGTGTGTACATATTTGTACGCGTGTATGTGTGTGTGTACAATGTATACAGTTTAGACATATGCATCGCATCCACATGTGTTCCATACACCGACTTTTTTCCTGCTGTGCTTGTAAACATTGAAATTGAATTAATGAGGTCCCAGTCCATGTGACTGGTACATGCAGGAGGCAACCGGCCGCGAGGAAACCGTGTCCAGTGAGTCGCCATACTCAAACTATTCTATTCCGTTGTATGGCGATGTGTGGTTTGTGGAAGCCGTCCCTTCATCTCAGCCCGAAGCTGTTGCCCTCCACCTGCTCCAAACTGCTGAAAAATCTCCTGTGCAGGCTGCAACGCTGCTTAAGCACTACACATACCGTTGCTGCACCTCGATGAAGGCAGAGGCCAGCTCTGGCAGTGCCACAAAGGCAAGAACCTACCAGCAGAGTTCTTGAGCCCTCCAGTTGTCTCGGCAAACACCGACCCTCCAGGCCCAGCTTCGCCGCCCATGGGCCATAGCCTGCGCTGACGCTGCATTAATGTCTCAAGCATCACGAGGCAACTCTCGCCTGCAGCTTTTTGCAGGGGCTGCCCGGCGCGGCGTTGGGCCCGTCTCTATGGTCCAGAAACCCAGACGCTTTTTGAAAGCCTTCTGAATTCCAATCAGCGCCCCTCGTCACTGCAGTTGGACTTCCTCATCAAAGATAAGAAGACCGATCTTTGAACCCCAGTTTGCTTTGCCCTAATCCCGAAGCCCTTTGGAGCAAAACCACACATGCGTCGCAGGCGCGTGAACCGCAGTGCTGTCAGGGCTTCATCTCAACGACACGACGACTCTGCGACCCTGGAGCGGCCAGCGGCCCCCAAGACTTTTTTTGTTGCGATCTGCAGTTGACTTTGGCAGTCAGTCGTCCGAACTATCCTGAGTCCGATTCCAGAAAGAGTCAGTTTCAGTCAGGTTCAACATGCACGTCCCATCGTCATGTAAGGCCGACACCCCAGAAGAGGAGGATGACCTCCAATCTGAAAGCTAGATGGGACGTCAGATCTGGGGCGTCTTCAGGTCACCCCATGTTCCCTTCAAGCCAGCTCACGTTCCGTTAATCACTGCCAGACATCTCGTCCAGTTCTAGAATCGCTGAAGCCTTGGACGCTTCTTGGACTTGACCGTCGCCTTGCAGGCTTGTGGGATCTGGTGTCTGGGGTCCGGTCACGGCCTTTGCTCGCCAAAGCTCGAGATAGACGAACCCGACGCATACTCGTTTGTAGCGCTGACCAAAGTCAGGTAAACCCAGGCAGTTGCGCCTCAGCTTTTTCTGCTGCTTTCAAGGCAACCTCAGTGGGTTGAGGGGTGTCAGTGCCTAGTTCGCTGCAAATCCGACAGCCGGCCCGAATTGTTCCGCATGCTGAGCTCAAAAGTCCTGTGACACTGTAGCATCCCTGCTGAGCATCACACGTTCGCAGAATGCTCGTAGGCTTCGTTGAGTTGTTCTCGAAGCCTTGCTGCTTTGGCCACCTGCAGGCCACAGAGGTGCAGGCATCTGTGCGATTCATTTGTGGCTGGGTTGCTGTTCGAACGACTACTCAAACATCCCGAATCCTGATATATCCAACCCCGCACGGCTGGCCATCTCAGGATCTTCGGATGAGGACTCCTCGGCAGCAGCCGCTGCCGCCTGCGCAAAAGGCTCTGCTAGCCGCTAGCCTGACTTCGAAGTCTGTGCAGCCTCAGCTGCCGCAAGCTCCTCCTCCACCTCGGCTATTCTTCTGGCGGCCTGCAACGAACGGGCGACGGGCCACAAGAGTGGAAAGGTGACGCTTGCGGCTCGCCGGGCCTCGGCTTCCTCTTCGCCCGCGAGCTTCGCGATCTGCTCGGCCTCGGCAAAGCGTGGCGGCGTGGCGATACCCATGCCCCGGGCGCCGCGGCGGCGCGGCCGCACGCGCCATCGCACGCAGTGAGCGCCTCCTTTGCAGCCTCTTCGATCTTGGCCAAGGTCTGCGAGGTACCGAGAAGCCAATTTCCGACCCAAGTCTGGCCTTCTGGACGACGAGTCTACTCGGACTATAGTAGATTCTGCTCTTCCGCTCCCCTTCTACTGGTTCTGGTAGCATGTGCACTACTTAGAGGAGGATCGTACAGACAGAAGTGACATCAGGAAACTGCCCCGCACCTTCGCAGCTTTCTTTTCCGCTTTCTTGGCCTTTTTCTCGCGCTTCTTCTCCTGTTCACACATTCCTACGTCCACTCCACACCTCTGAACGATGCTTGGAGTGTCCTTCTTGAGTCGTTTCTTCTCTTTTTTGCTCAGCTCCTGTCTTTCGAAACGAGGAAGTTGCCCTCAGGGTCGTATCTCACATATCGAGGAACCTTGGGGAGCTTCTCTTCACCCTTTGCTTCAGACTGGCCTGGTGCAATGCGGGCATGTGCACATGTAGCATCGCTGACGCGAAGTTCGGCCGCTACTGCACCTTCGGCTTCGGCTTTCTCGAGCTCTGGTGCAGCCACTTTGGACCAGTCCTGGACATGGCACCATCTGCACTCAACAGATCAAGTGGGCACGACGGTCCTCCAACTCCTGTGCAACGGCGTTGGCTAACTTGACCTGGGGTTGTGGTCATGACGAGTCAACGAGGCAGAGAGTTGTGTTTGGAAAACTTGGCAGCGAACGCCTTTCAGGGATTCGCTGTAAACTTTCTGCAGTGACCTGGCGCTAGGCTCGGGCCCTCAACCAAGCCTCACCCATTAGGCCATCAACCGAGAAGACTTGGCACCCGAGAAGACTGGGAGCCTCAACTGATCAGCCGCCACTTTGGCACGGCTCAGTAGGCCCAGGTCCCCGGGAATGGCCCTGAACAGCGATCAGGGCAGCTCTTCACGTGAACTCTGTGTGTGTGCCCCCCGAAAACCGTGCGCATTGAGCTTGTGCACTCGAAGGCTTCAAGTTGGTGCTACGGAGCACAGAGCTCGTGCACTCCTCGGCCCCAACTGAGTACCAGACTTGTACTTGTGCAAGTTCTCAAAGAAGAGCCTGGAAACCCACGGTCATGCTTTGTGCTTGCGGACTGGCGGACAAGGAAGGCCGGCAATCGTCCATTTTGTGAGTGCACATAGCCGTAGATGTGCAAACAGCAGAACCCTAAGTAAAGCATTGCCAGAAATCACAGGCCAGCGTATCCTCCACCATCTCCATGCCAGAAACTTGCAAACGGAACCGAACGTGCAGCTCGCGCTTCTCTGGGTAGCTTATCACGGTTGCAAGCACGTCATCATTCTGTATGCCCTCTGCGGACAAGAACGCCTGCACTTGGCTCAAGCTCAGCTGAGTGGACGTTCCTGCCAGCAGTCTTTCTGCATAGAGATCTTCAATCCTCGACTGGCGTCGTTTGCTTTCTTCCAAGAGCCTTGAAATGCTCTGATGATGCTCATCTTTCAAAGTAGAGCCAAGTGCACAGTGATTTGCGTGAACCAGGACGCCCTCAAATCCTACAGGAGAAATGTGGATTCTGGTGAGCGACCACTCGACCATGACCATGCCATGACCTTGCTGCGTTAACAGCAAAGCCGCACCGGAAGCCATCACCACCCGCCTTCTTCCGTCAAAGAGGCTTCTGAGAAAGGCAACAGCTTCGGGAAGGTTGCGAGGGCCCAGAAGGAGCTCCCAAAGTACTGCAGCCAGTGGCAGCCCACCAACTGCAGAAGGTCCAGAAGCAGAAGCCTCTGTCTGCGGATAGAGTGTAAATCGAGACACGCAGAGACCAGAAACGCCAATTCCAATTGGGCACATGGTGCAAGCAGGGTCGTACAGAAGGGCTGAAGCTGGCATGCCGTCAGATCGCAACCTGAAAATAACATCAAGCTTTCCATAGTCGTATATGTAGACATCCACCTCCTCCGTTTGTCCTAGGATGCCTGGGCACGCAAGACCGGTGCAACCTGCGGCTTTGGCCATAGCTTTGGCTCCAGAGGACGTTCTTGGCAATTGCGATGCCACTTGGATTTCGTAGATGGTCAGCAGCTTCCACAAGTCTTCTCCGGCCGTCTGCGCAGCTCCGGCGAGAAAGCCCGCAGCGCTTGCCATGACCCCAGCCTCAGATGCCACTGCAGTGGCCGCAGCACGGGCGACCCTCTTCCAAGATTCCTTGCCAGCGGCGTTCCATGCAAATTGATTTTCAGTGCGGTCCAGCGGGCTCCGCCACTTTTCAGCCATGCGCCTGAGAAGTGCCTGGCCGAGCTCATCGAGAGTTGGCGCCTCAAGTAGACCAAGATCTCGCCTCAACATATCTTCCTGCTCCATATCTTGCAGGTGCCCAGCTCCATCCCATCGACTCCAACAGGATTGGCAGTAAAAGGTCTCGGCATCGGAGCCTTGACCGAAATATCCTGGAACATTGGTTTCACGACACTCCGAACAATCCCCGAATAGAAGCCCGTCTGTGGTCATGGGGGCATCGGACAATAGAAGTTGAGCTGCCAGATTGATGTCGCCTTTTGCATTGACCAGAGCTGCACGGCAAGCTGACGGGTCTGAACCTGTTATCGAGGACAGAAGTGCAAGCTGATCGTCGGTGCTGGCCATGTTCGCCGTCACAGAGCATCGCAGCACAGCAAATGCCAATGTCTTCAGACATGCCTACCCCTTGGGCCCTGAAGCTCCGGTGGTGGCCGTTCTGGAACCCTACTGGCCACTCAGGAACTCATCTTCAGAGGGCAAGGTGGAGGCAGATTGAGGATCCTGCAAGCCACTGACCGAGGTCGCGACCCTTGTCTTTTCCACAGTTCCCTCTTTTGAAGCAGCCTGAAACGCAAGACGTGTAGTAGCTGCGAAGCCTGCAATCCGGATGTCTTCACCCTCCTTCCGAATCTGAGACGAGCGCTGTGGTTGAGAAAGAACCTACCGCGATTGCGAGTCCGATAAACGGTGAAGCCCCCCATGGCTTTGTAGACCCTGGGTCCTTGTCTACCAGGGCCTCCAGCTCGTTCAGGGCCTTAGCCACGAGTCTCATCCGTTGTGGCCGGGTGCTATCACAAGGCTCGGACGGCACCCATGCAAGAGCCGATCGCATCCCGGATCGGAAGTGGGGACCTTAGAGCCAGGGCACAAAACACAAGACTGAAGTCGTCTCACCGCTGGAGTGCAGGAAGTATATAGCTCAGCTTGTCAACGTGCGGATAGGACGACGCAAAGTACGCTCTTGACTCGGCAACACGCTTTGGCCCTTCCAAATCGCCTTTCGGCAAGGCCTCCCAATAACGCAGAACAGTGCAGCACAGAGCCGGGTAGTGCAGCACATTGCAGTGGCTTTTCTCTGCGCCTCTCGGAGCTGCTTCACCTGCTTCTGCCAAGGCGCCTCCGTCTCCGTCGCTGCACCGCTCCCCGTCTCGACTCTCTACTTGTCGCTCAGGGCCTTCAAGTCGACTTTTTCCGTCATCACTTTTTCGAGATGTCGGAGCTGCTGTTGAAATCCGACCTAAGAGCATGGGCTTGGCAGCGGGAAAAGCCGCCGTACATCCCGAGGTCTCGTCGTTGGGATACACAATGGGCCGTCTCCTCGGTGCGACAAGAATCACAAGATGGAGACGAAGGTCCATGGAGAACGACGGCATGACAGCGAACACCACGATTCAAGATATGTCCATGCAGACGCATCTGCAAAGGTGCATTGAAGCAACTACTATTATGAAGTGCGGCACTCCAGAACCGACACTTTCATGGCCCCAAGCCACGTGGGAAATTCGTAACGTACAAGATCTTGCAAGAAGCTAGCATGATCCTTCGCTCTTGGCTGCACGACCGTTAAAGCATATCGAGCATAAACAATTAACGTTGACAGATGCGGTTTCAAAGGGTACCTTGGGGCTGCTGGAGAGCCAATATGTAATATGTAGAGCCCCACCTAACAGTACCAGGCATCAAGAAAGGCTCACGGGAACTCAGCTTCGCTTCACTCTGAGATCAAGGCTTCTCGCAGAAAGTCCATGCTTCTTCAAAGGAGATGCCTCGCTCCATCATCAGCAGGGCCTGGCACTCTCAGAGTCGCCGTAGCTCCGGAGTAATCACTACGTGCTCCGTCTTCTGTCAACCAGCCGCGTGCTGCGAGCTTTTTGAGAATACGACAGGCTCTCCAAGGACACTGTCCGGTGCCGCCGCTAGCACATCCACATTCAGGTCCTTTGTGAACAGCATGACCTCAACCGGCGAACAGGTTGTATGCCTGGCGATGACTTGTGAGGATTCGGTTTGCCCCCTCGGTAAACGCACTCCTGGGCCTCAGGCTGCCTGTTGCCCCGGTCGCGGTCTGAAGATTACGGCCATGTCCGAATTAACCTGAAGGAGCAGCTTGTCTGGAGGCCCCTTTGGAAGAGACTCCCGGCCTCATCCAAGTCGAAATGGGGGAGGTGCAGCCCCATCGTGCACCCCTCCAACATCGGCTCGTCTTTGAAGACCCAGCTGGTTATGACCTGACGAACACTTTTCATAAACGCGACACCACTTGACGGCTTCGAGGAGCAGACCGCCAGGCGTGAGCAAAGCGTCTCCCGAAAGCCGGGCAGTTGGCCAACCTTGAGAGTAAGTCGGGAGCGGGATAGCGGGATGCCAAATGAAGCCATGGAAGTGCAAGCTGCTGGATCGCTGCCACATCGCCGATAGACTCCCTGCTGTCTGCCCTGCTCCAATGCTGCCCGGACCAGACTCGGCCCCGAGATGTCATCGGGACCAAACCACAGAAGACCCTGAGCAATGAGCAGTGACACCATGCGAGGACGTGCTGGCGAGGACCACCGCCCACACTCGCCAAAATGCTAAGTGCCAAGCCTGGTAGTTGCCAGCGTCGTCCTGTTCGTGCCCGTCAACATACCTATCACTCACCCAAACCTACTTAGGTCCAGACACATGCAAACACACTGACACAGCCGAACACCATGCAGACAGAGAAAAGAACGAAACACTAAACGACATAGAGACAGAGAAACATGTGCAACCAGCCAGGCTCTAACTGAGATGTTACCTACCTCCGACAGGTTTGCCAGGCGCCCGCGGAAGTTCACGGCCATTGAACAAGCCTCAAGAAGTGCAGAGCTGTCTTGCAACTGGCTAAGCGGTAAGTCACGTCCGCAATTCGAGTGCGCTGCACGCGCACCGAAGAGCCTTGCAACACTCGACGTTACGATGTCGTTCCTCATTGCTTGGCTTCGGTCTTCGACATCTGCGTCGTGAGCACTGATCACCAACCCGAGTCTCGTCGAGAGAGGCACGGTCGGGACCGTCCCCTTTGCAGCTTGGACCTGCTCACCGGGCACGACGGGCACGCCATGTTCATATGTTCAAAATGCGAGGACACGAGTGCTATGCCTGAAGTTGTTTCACCTTCTCCATATTGATGACAAAGGCACGGCCTTCGAACGGCACCATGCGAAAAGTCGTTAAAGTGCGATTCCATGCTGAGGATCCCGCACTTAGGTCTTCCCCATAGAAACTTGCTGGTAAGGGAGTTCAGCACATATGCTGGCGAGAAGATGAAGTCGTATTCAGGCCTGGTGCACAGGAGCCCGATCACCAAGTGACGCTCGCGAAGCAGTGGTGGCTCTGAGCACCGTGCCGGCCAAGAGCGCGCAAACGTTCTTGATGGAAAGCCAGCTTTCGCTCTGGTCTCAGGGAACGGACTGGTGTCAGCTTGCGCGTCAGCATGTGGAAGATCCTGTAGTAGGTGTACCTCGCACATCTTCGGGGATCACCGGGTCTTCTCATTTTCCTGCTTTAGGTTGGGAACCCATCAGCAATGATGTGCGACAGCGAGACGAGGAGGGCAAAGTCATCACCTCGTCGCCAGTCTTTGGAGTGCCACCCACTGCTTCGGTCACGGCTCCCTGCGGGGAGACGACTCGAAGGGCTGCAGATCGTCACTTTCAGCAAAGGATGGCTGGAGTTCCGCAGGCACTCCACTCCGGACCTGATCAGACGTGATGGACCTGACCAGACGTGATACCCGGGACCAAGCCCGGCCCGCTCGCATTGAGTCACTCAGCCTCTGGCGGAATTTCAGCACAGGAACCACTCACTTTCTGCGTCAGCACGTCGTAGGGCATGTCGGGGTGTAGGTCAAGTATGCCAGGCCTCACGTGAGGCTCGCAGATGCTCGCAGCACCGCCATTGCTTCAAGCAGCCTTGGGAGATCTTTGCATCTGAGCAACCCGATGCTTTGGAAGATTTCATGCGCCGCTTCTTCGCCTACATCTTCCTCATAGCGAAGAAACACGCGATCCTGGTGTCTCAAGCCAGGCTGGGACCAGAGAGAGAGAGAGGATACGAGGCAACCATAACGTTTGCAGATGTCCGGATTAGATCGTGGATGCCGTGAACTCTCGTGAAGCTGTGCCCATGTGGCCTTGCGGATGTCAACCCAGCTTCTGTAAGAACTGCGATGTGCATGTTGCTTTTGCTACTCTGCAGCCTTTGTTTGAGTATTTATTCGGCGACGTTGCAGAGAATCGGGTCTTATGCCGGCCTCGGATGAGGTCCTCCTGAGGCTTCCTGCTAGCCAGGGATTTGCCGCCAGCACCGCTGCAAGCCTTTCTTGAAGCCAGGGGATTGGAGGAGCGCCTGTGCAGAAGCTGACCTGAGCAGGAGAATGTCAGAACCAATGGCACTTGAACACGGCCACATCCGATGCACAAATAAATGCTCGCAGGAGAAAGAACATTGAACTGGAATCCCTACAAGTACAGGTCTGCACCGAGTAAGCACGTGCTGTGGTACTTATGTCTGCGAGAAGCTGAAGTATTATCGTCATTCGCAAGTTGAAGACTCCGTCGACACTCTCCAGTGGACAAAGGTGGACTTTCACTCTGAACTTGGGCTCTTCGGTGTAACGGCGGTGCTTGAATCAATTTTTGCTGGACTTAAGGGACTTGCTGACTTCTGAGGAAACACGGTAAGAGCGGACGAGCACGCGAAGTACGGTGCACAGTGCAATGTAGGTGTCATCTAGTGTCTCGGCGGGTCGGTGAGTTTCGGTGGACCATCTGGCAACTGTCCAGGTCCATGGCACAAGTTGTGGTGCCTCGCGAGAAGGAATTGTCTTCATTGAAGCGCGGCTGACGGTTTCCCGAAGCTTCCTCTAAGCTCCAGAGGCAGCTATCAGCTATCGTGCCATCTCATCTCTGAGCCAGGTCACCGTTGTCATCCCCCTGAGCAGCAGGAACAAGTCATTGCTCTCCTCGTCAAGGAGTGGCGTCTCCTGGGGTGGGGGCGAGATCTTAACCGCGAGCTGTGAATGCGAAAACCGATGCGGGACCTGGAATGTGAGGAGACGGCTGACAAGAAACATGAAGCTGTTGGCTGCCCTCTGCTCGAAGCAGAGCCGGCTAGTTCTACAGTATTCTATAGCGGTATGACTCTCATGCAGCTGTCCTTGCAGGCGGACCGTGCAAAGCTTTTCAGTCTCGCATGTCCGGCCAGGCGTGTCCCTGTCCCAGGCTTGCCAACAAAAAGGTGGGTGCATTTGGTGAGATCGCAGAGAGCAAAGCCAGCAGTGATCAGGGCTGTGCACCTCAGCAACCAGACGGAGAGATGAAAAGTGAAAAGGATGTATTCAAGAAGTGAAGCGGGAGAAGCAACTTGTGAAACCCATGTCCAGGCCGAAGGTCCGAAGCCATGGGTGGTGGCCCCTGCATAGGCTCATCCGTGAAGGTTCCAGTCTAGGAGTCGGAGTTCCCGCCCGGCCGCCATTGCAGTATGCAGGAATTCTGAAAGAGCTCCGGGCAAGGCGAAAAATAACAGCACAGAAAACAAAGCATAGGCACACTGACTTAACTCTGTAGGCATTCTATCTGACTCGTCTAAAGACGCCAGGACTGCGATCACGAGGCTGGAGCTCCGCGAGATGCCCTTTGCACAATAGCAGAACACCTGCCGCCAGGCCGCCAGGCAGACGCAGTCTCTTCTCGACCCATCTATCTTCGATTATCGTCGATCTTCTGAGGTTGAGATACTTTGCCGCATGCGCCTTGCCGCCTTTGGATCGCGCCTTCAAGCAGACACCCGGAAGCATATAAATTGAGCATGATTCAGGGCAACGGAGGGTGGCACACCTTTTTCATCTAGCGTCGGCAACTCCACCTCCCCGAGGGATGATGCAAAATCAGCCAGTGAAAGTCCACGTCTTGCTGGAGGACACGAGTTCTTTAAATCAATGCGGAACGGCCCGGATCTTCAGGCGTCTGCACACGCCGTTAGGATAGCGAGAACATTTTGGCATGATCACGCTTACAAGTTGCGACCGAAATCGAAAGGCTCGGCGCTCAATCATGTCGAAAGCTTTAGAAATTAGCCTTGGCATACTCCAGGCCCTTGTCAATTTCTGTTTTGAGCTGGTCCATTGCCTGCACAAAGAGCAGCGAAGTTGAACATGCCCCCACCCTGATGGGAACCTGTACTTAGCGGAGACTCGGGGGGGGGGGGGGGCCAGACTGCGAACCTCCTTTAGTCGGCCCTGCTCATAGCTGTTCAGGGTGCCGATGCCATGGATCTTCTCGACTCCCTTGCTTCCGAAAGTCACCTGATGCGCGTCGAACACTTGTGTCCTACCATTGGCTGTGCAGGCAAAGCTCGTTACTTCGATAGCCAGCTGCATTAGCGGATGCTCATGCTCACTGCAGCACAACGTCTCCCCTGTCGTTGTTTAGAGTCCGCTGCATGACAGCATGACGAGAGTTGAGGAGTGGCCTTCGATGAGAAGTAGGGAAGCTCCGTGACAGTGGAAGCCACGTAGGCACACTCATCAGTCGGAGTGCCAGCCAATCCTTTCAGAACCTGCGCGCGAGGGGGCAGCATTTGCTGGAAAGACCGCATCATGATTGCATCTGTATAAATCAGAAAGGCAGCTTGCAACTGGCCTTGTTCCCGAAACGTGCGCCCGAGTAGGCCATAGACAGCGTCGCACTGCCCTTGCCAGCTTTGGCCTCGACAACCTGCGCTGAACCGAGGGTGCACGGGGTATGGAGAAGTCCGATTGCCGAATCAGAGATTCTCGGACCCTGCTATGTTCCCACCACGCCTCGGTGCCGCCATCCTGTGTGCGCTTGTCCAGTGCTGGAATCCTTGTCTCAAAGCTCCCACGCCATCCACACTGTAGCTAAGCAGCTATGATGTGCTGACAAGGGTTTCCGGCTTGCAGCCAGCAAGCTTATCCGTTGAAATAGTTGCGGCAGCTGGGTCCTTCGGAAGCCACTTGAAATCACTTGAACCTCTCTCGCTGCAGCCGCTACAGTATTTGCCAGCCGCGCTCTGCGGCTAGGCCATCTTGGAATGTCCTGAGAAAAGACTGGCATGATCGTCACGCCGGCATGGCCGCCGATGACCGGGACCTCGATCTCCCCGGGGGACTTGCCAGTGATCTCGGCGACGAACTTATTGGCTCGGACAATGTCCAGGGAAGTGACACCCACAATCTTCAGTGGGTCCAGGCCTTCATCACAGCAGTGCCGCTGCGACGAAGCCATGCAAGCGTTGAGCTACATTCACTACATCTGATCAACAACTTATCGGGCCTTTCTTCTTGTAAAACTCGGCCATTGCAGGCACGATAGAGTTTACCTGCAGCTGATCAGCAATCCACTGAAGTGCTAGGAGGCTGCATAGAGCCATGGCATCCATGGTGCTGGATTCACGATGAGGCCAATGACCTTACTCTATGCGGGAGGATTCACGCTGCTGCGCTGCCTGGCCTTGGACTTGAGGCCTTGGCCGCATCTGGGCAGTACTTCGCACAAGCTTCAACAACACCCTTGGCAATGCCAGCGTTGACGTTGAAGAGGTCATCTCTCGTCATGCCGGGCTTTCTCGGCACCTCGGATGGCTGCGTGAAATCTGCAACATGATGCAACACGGCAGGTCTTCACCGAGGTGCGCCGGCAGGGACCAGGACCAGGTGGCAGCCTGTGAGGCACTCTTCCAGCTGATCCACAGCGGGTTTGGAGGGATCGGTGGCGTAGCCAACCACCTGCACGCAGCCAGGACTCTTCGTGATGGGCTGGGGATTCACCATGCAATGGCAGCATGAGAACACGATGCAATGCATCATCGCCCGACAATTTTCACCATGCAGATGCGATAAACACAACACACGCGAACATCAATGATTGAACCTGGCTCAGCATCAGCGCAGCGGGTGTGTGCACGATGCTACATCTGTTCTGTAGCCGATCTGTCAAACCTTTTTGGCATTGACGGATTGTGTGGCGGTGTCAAGATCAAATCCCGTCAGGTCGGTTTATCAAACAGAGGGCTAAGAAGCCAATGCAAGGCGATCTTCGCACGTGCCGCTTGTTTTCCACCTGACTTCACCTCTTGCTCCAAATCGTCAAAGCGCCAGTCCAGCAACTCTCGAGGAAATTTCTGCAGGAAACTCACGGATAGGGTTGCTTGGCGTGGTGGGCGCTGGGCTGCCCCTAGGTAGGGATTTCTCTTATCACGCCGCAAAATGCGTTCCAGCTTGTCGGTTTCCATAATATGCCGAGCCGTGCGACCCAGGCATCGCGCACGTGTCAGACATCGAACTTGAGTCATGGCCCCACGCAGCCCTTGCGTAGTCAGTGCCATGAGTTCATGGACGCAGCTGCCACACTACGGTAAGCCTCCAAGCACTGGAATTGCCTGCAGAAGTAATGGCTACTTACCTTGCTGCTATGCATCAGAATACCACGAATTTAGCCCAATAGCCGTGCATGCCGCCTGACGGCTCTGTTTGCGGATTTTAAGTCCGAAGTCTGATGCGCGGTTCAGTCCGCTGGAGCCAAAGCTGACGCGCGAGGTGCATGGTGAAATGTCCACCGAGCCCGCGAGGCAGCGGCGCCATGGAATCCTTGCCTCTTAAGAACTGTTCGTTTCCGCCCTTCGCACTTCGCTCCTACCCACTTTCATGCCCTCTTCCGCCCTTCGTTCCCATCGACTCTCACTTGTTTTGTTTTGAGCATCCAGTGGTGGCCTGTGCCCCTTCCCCCCACCGCTCCATGCATTTCCGGACAACAAGTCTCTCCACGTTCTATGCCCCCGTTCCCGCCCTGAACTCCCATCCATCCCGGCCCTCTCTGACCTTCCGAACTACCTTTTCGCTCCGGCTCTGCATTCCATCATGTGCTGGTGTTTTTTCTATCGGAGCATCGTCATGGTAGCCTGCGCTCCAGTCCAAGCCCGCAGCATTGCTCATATCCTAAGCGCTCCGGCCCTTGCCCCTGCCATTTTTCCATTTGGCCCCTTAAGGCTTCCATCCACACATGTTTGATTTAAGTAGTGAGTAGCGTTTCAATTGTGGCTTGCGCCTCCCCTTGACTCCCTCAATACCCACCATGCCATCGGTCTTTGTGGTTAGAGAGCTGCAGGGATGCTCCATGGACGGCTATAATATTCACAAGAATAAGTCAAGGCTTCTGGTTGAAACAAGAAAACGTAGCAGCAGGCTGGACTAATTATCCAATCAGCGAAACTGGAGTTCTACCGTGCTGCTCGCATGGTTGCCAAGATTTATTCAACTAGTGACAGTGAAACAAGAAAATAGCAGCAGCAGCAGCAGCAGCAGCAGCAGCAGCAGCAGCAGTAATGTACTTGTGAAAGTCATAGAAGTAGTATCTGCAAAATGCTTCTAACACGGTCTGATGAAGGCAGAGCGAGCTCGAGAACCAGGCGGCACAGTATAGCGCATAGCCATGCAATGGCTGCCACAGGCATGATGGTGCAACAAGAGGGGTGGGGCGGTGTCGTGATTCGCAGCAAGGCGTGTAAAGCTTCAGCTGTTGCATGGTGGCACCGACATACACCACTCTACAAAACATCCTTTCAAGGGCTCGGACTGCTTGCAGTCGTCTTCTTTTGTCTGGACTGGGACTGGCACGAGAGTGACTTCCTCCTTACCTAATCGCTATTATGTGAGCTTCGGAGATGCACGGGATCCGTTAGCTCTGACACTAGCCCACTGCGGGCCTACTGACTGGGTGCCGGTCAATGCTCTTACCCACAGTTGCCACACCCGCAGTCGGATCCCTCCAATTCACCCGCAATGGTGTGCAAGATGATCGCTCGCTTGCAAAGTGGTGGTTCGCTGGCTTTGTGGTCGGCGTGGACACCCTGCATACTCTTACTTCGCAACTGCCGAAGCCCCAGAAAGCACCTTGCATCACCCACTCTGCGCTGCCTCTCCTCTTGCTCATTGTCGGGCATGGCATGGCGGCCCTGCGACCCTTCATGAGCCCTTGGACTCGAAGCCTTGCTGGGATACTCGAGATGTCCAAGGTCTGCAGCAACTCCTGCAGGAGGAACCTCGGCCGGAGTTATCGAGATTTCCACTGAAGGCTGCCTGGAGCACGCTTCCAGCACATGCACGCGCCAGAATCGCGCTTGCCGAGCGCCTGGCAGCTGCCATTGTCACATCCTGGATGGAAACCTGAAAGGCCGGGGCTGCAGGCTTGCAGCTTTTTTTTCGTAGCTTTTGCATCGAGTACCGCGCCTCCTTCACGGAATCGTTCATGGCCATGAGCATGCTCAATGGCTGCCCGATCCCTCCTGCACCTCCGTTGATGCAAACCTCCCGCAAGACAACAAAGCGCATTAAGTTGCTGTCGCAAGAAATCACGCTCGACACGACAAGCGGGAACACAGAATCTGTGGAGGCCTTGAACTGTGCCGCAC